GAGATTTCGACTGCTGATTTATGCGATTAATTCCTCGATCCACTACCCTAAAATCCCGATAAATCCGAACCTACACCTCATCGGAGCCAAAAGACAAGAATAATGCAATCCCACCTACTTCTTGTATGCTAATTTTATTATTTAAAATGGATACTTCATGATTTGGTTCGCTAATTTATGCTTTTCTTTGAATATCAGCATCCCAGGCTTAGTATGAAGGAAAGGTAGGTTCCGAATATTCCCTGAATTTATATGGGTATACCTTTCAATTCGTTTGAAGAGGGTTCGTAAGTTGGTCTCACTAGAAGCCTTGGAGATGTGACTATAGATTTGTGCGAATAAGATTTTGGCACACCACCCCGCAACCCCGAAAAATCCTTGCTGAGCTTATGTCTGTCACACTTCGTGTTATGATGAATTATCGTAAAGCATGATGCCTTGCTCTGATGATGTCCGCAACAAGATAAAAGAAAGTCCAGCAAGGATTCATCGGGTTCGCAGAATGCCCCGAAGAATTATTCGCACGGCACCAAGACAACCCTCCTTCGGTTTCCGGTGAGGCCAACTTACGAATGTCTTCCACTCACAGCTTTAGACAAAAGGAAAGGAATGTCGACAGCCTTGATTCAGTGTTTGGTGAAATTTGTTAAGGGAAGCAGACTCAGGCGATGATGGTAAAATGAAAAACGAACGTTGCATACGGATTCATTGGAATCGCGCGATGCGCCGAAGGCTCCTTAGAAAATAAAACAACATTCACAACTCTAAGGTGACTATCTGAGGAGGCCAATTGACGAATGCCACCTATTCATCTTCAATATATAAGAGAAAAGTTCAATGATATGAAGAGCACAGTCTAGGAAACAGCATAGCTGGTTTCGAATATGTGTTAAAAGAAGGGCCTTCCAAAGTCTTGTTGAAGTAGACCCCAACTATCATATGATGATGTCCATCATATGATAGTTACAGCATCAACTCGCTTTCACCAGAGACTCACGAAGAAACGTGCCTCATCAATTGGTTGAGAGCCCAACCCAATGCTGCTAGGATTGAACAAGTGCGTTATGGACGCGAGTCCTACTTAGCTTCTCCGAGATGCCATCTGCAAACTTTCGCTTCCGGCAAGGGAGCGAAAGTAGGATGAATTAATGTCTCAAATTTGGATTAAGTTAATGGCCCAGAAGTAATCAACTTACATTGCACTTATGCGGTTTTTCACCGGTGTGCCGGCGCATATGGACAACCAGCATGTATTGTGCCTTGAATGGGCGAGCACCTCGGACACAGTCACGCCAGAAGCAGATAAAGCTCTTCTTGCCCCCTGCAATGTGTTCATTGCTGATGTGCTGGGGTGATGAAAGGGATTCACAAAAATGGGCATCGTTAAATAAATTAGGAGTAAACCTTATGTACATGTTCAAATTAAATTTATGCTATCCTAACGCAAATCGAGAATTCACTAACCCAGCCTCGAGCAATCTGCCCGGTCAGTCAACCTTACAATCTAGGGAGATCCTGTGGAACAAAGTGATTCTGAAAGACCAGCTGCAAAGGGGATATTCGGAGCAGAATTCAGGCAGAACGATACAAATAAATCGTCTGACTATGAAAACTTGATGGCCACTTAGTTTCTGGTCGGAATAGTGTATAGACAGCTGTTGCTCCAGCAATTTCATATTGTTTTCCGTTTATAGGACGCGTTTCTAGACCACCAGTAGATCACATATAAGAGCTGTATTCCCCTTACTTCGTTTAAGGTGATGAAGGACTGGATGTGTGAATTTTCCCACAATCATATGACTAGACCTCCTGGTTCCAGTGAATTTCACATAGCCTTGCTTCCCAAAAGTTATTGAAGGGTACAGCTCATAATCTGACAGAAAACACCATGAAAGCCTTATTCCAAGTTCAAATGACCCTTAACTCGGCCATAATTATTTAGTATCCCAAATGGTCTGTGCTAAGAGAAACGACAGACTTACGACAAATAGGGAAGATACAAAGTATCGAAGAAGAATTTTTGTCTTAATTTTGGTTATGCTAGAGAATGAAGTTTACCAGCTGGTTGGAACTCTATTTAGGTAGCTTATATATTATACTTACTCTATTTATGTAAATTAAGCAACAAAATAATTGCATACATGAAGACCAAGAGTGTATGGCCTCTATTTTGGTCCCCCTGGGGGTGTTGATAAGGCTTGGGTGAGATCGAAACAGCAGTCCACTTCAAACTGGATTAGAACACCTTTTGGGAAAGCAAGGCTATGTGAAATTCAACGGAAAATTCAGGTCTACTCATATGATTGTGAAAAAATTACACTACCAATCCCCTTGTCACCTTAAATGGAATAGGATGAAAACATTTCATACAATAATGATTTGGCCTCATTTTCGCCATATGGCGACTTAAAGTAGTCATGCTAATTTCAAATGTCGGACCGTAGATTTGGTATATTCCAAGATGCCTCGCGGGCATCATAGTTAGTATCCTCAGTAAGTCTTGCCAGTCTAAGCACCGAACACGAGGGAAATCCGAATAGGAGAAGAACGAAGTAGTTTACGGACTGAAATATCCAAGTCGGATCAGAAATTCTGACAAATGAAGAGGAGGGAGGGGAAAAAGTGAACCAGCAGGTGTGATAACCCCCATTAAATTCGCTCAAAAGAGCGCATATTTTAAGTAGTCAAACAGAAACAAGTTAAAAGTTATGGTATAAGAAGAGAAGGTAGGTAGAGGCATCGTAACAGTAGAAGTGATAACACAATTATCTTTATGGCCAAGGGATGAAGTCCATTTATCTATTTGACAAGTTGTAGCTTGGTGCTAAGGCTGGCAAGACTCGGTAACGATGACGACTACGATGTCAGCGAAACGTCTGGGAATGCACGTGGAAACTATCATGGCATAGGACTTCGGACAAGATGCGTCTACCTAGGTCGCCCTGACAACACGGTCAGGTTGCGAAAACGAGGTGAAAACACTCACGTGTACATCTAAATAGTGTTTTATTCAACCAATTAAGTAATTAAAATGCCGTTTGCTTACCTTGACCAGAGCTTCTTGCGTCTCAAAATTGATCTGGCAGTCTGCCCACCTGCAGGCGGTCTCTACAAAGTCTGGGTCTCCCTCTTGCGGATGTCTGACACCTTCTTCATCCTCCTCCTCGTCCTCCTCAGCCACCATCCCCTCATCTTCCTCCTCGTCCTCTTCGTCGTCCTCTTCGTCGTCTCCTTCCTCCTCCTCCTCGACATGCCCATCTGGCAACTTTTCTTCGACTGGACGGCCGAAATGATTACTCCTCCCTGCGAGGCCCGGCTCAACCGCGGCTAGCTCACCGCAACAGAGTCGGAGACTCGGTCCCGAAACAGCGGCTCCCCGATTTCCCCTTTCTGGCGCCTGTTGTGCTGGCTTCTGTCTGCGACACCTCTCGCCGACAGGCCTACTTTGAGGCTTTCGCTTGTGCTCGAGACAGGCCGACTCACCGGGCCTGAGCTGGCCACTTGTGTCGTCCACCGACATGGCCTGACCGAGCCCGGCCACCTTCGGCTTCATTGGCTCCGCGGCAAGATCCGGCCCGTGCCGGGATCCGGCGAGGCCGAGTCGCGAGTCCGATCCCGAGCAATAGGCGGCCAGCTGCGAGCCCGCTTGCGTGCCCGACGCGGCCTCAAAGAGGGCCCGATGCCGGCGCAGCATTTCTCGGGTCAGCCCAACCGAACAGCCGACCGAGTCGGACGACGCGGGAGGACCCGGTTGAGGCGTCGACTCGTCCGGTTTGTCCAGACTTGCGGAGACCTCGGGACGTTGGAAACCGGTGGCATGTGGAGCGGGAGCCGCGAGATCGGTGCTGGCGAGAGGGTGGGAAAAGGCGCTGCCTGAATGAGCGGATGTCTCGACAGAGCGTCCGATTGGACGAGTGCATTTCCCGTTTCTCTTCGTCGACGCCACATGAGCCCTCAGGCCGCCATGCGAGTCGGCCTGACCCCCTCCAGAAGCGTTGCCCAAAGCGGCGCTGGCGGTGCCCACGGCAGCTGGCATCTTTGGGCTGTGCGTGGGTGCTACGGGAAACTGGCCCGCCTCCTCGGGCAACCGGAGTCCCGTGGGGCCGAGGAAGGCCGAGAGACCGTACCAGGCGGCTGCGGCGGCGAAAGGAAAGCCGCTTGTCCCGCCGGTACTGGCGCCAGCCTCTCCGCCGCCAGTCGCCGACGTCTGGGCAGACGCGAGTGGGCCGTCGATGTGGGGCAGCTGAACGCTGGCGCCGGTCTGCATGTGGCCGGTCGTCGGGCCGGTGGCGACGTTGGTGTTGGTACCGGCTAGTTGTGACCAGCGGAGGGCGGCAGTCGAGGCGGGGTCGAAGAGTGAGGCGTTTGTGCCGCCCATCGCCTGGTGGAAAGGGAAGGCCGAGTTCCAAGTGGACAGCGGAGGAGTGGGAACGGGAAAAGTGCACATCCCGCTGGTCGGGTAGCCGAGGCCGTTGCCGTTGCCGTTGCCGTTGCCGTCGTTTGCGTCGAATGGAGACATGCTGGACTCGGGTGCCTATTGGGCCAAGCGAAGAGAAGAATATTGCAGATGCGAGAAGTAATTGGGTTTCAATGAAACTCGTGAAATAATATTGCTGAACAGACTTTCATTTCATATGAAAGTGCATGATGAAGAGATTCGAAGCTCGATCTCACCAGAAGAGGACGGCTGAATCGCGTTTGGCTGGACACAATCCACAAAACATCCTCTGTCAGTTCGGATTAAAATGGGTTAAGCATTTGTCCCTTAAAGCTAAAACTCATG